TCTTTGGGTTTCTTTATCATTTGTTCTCATTTATTTGGTGCAGGATACATATGAGTCTACCGAATAGATAACTTGATATTGTGCAAGTTTTATTCTCAGCTCCTTACAAAATAATCGAACCAAAAGCTTTCCAGTGACACTTTCATTTCTGAAAAGTCTAATCTCAAATGTTTCTATTCAATTGGAATTGCCTTTATTTCTATGATTTACAAAATCCCGTCAAAAAGTCAATATTATTTTGTTTGGATGCTGCTTTTTTATGCGTATGACTTTAAATAATGACAAAATACCACATTTGTTGTGGGTATGAAAAATCAATAATTCTGTTGAAATAACACATTTAGAAAACGGAAAAGGTTTTATATTAAAATCAAACTTTATAGATTTGCCCGATATGGACTAAAAATGGTTGAAAATAACTTTTTTAGCCAAATTTTTTCATATTTATAATTTAATATTTATTTTTTGTTAAAAATAACAGGAAGAATATATTGTTTGTGAAAACTTTTCTACACAAAATCCTTTTGCTCAGTTATCAAAATTATTATTTCATCATCACATGTTGAAAAATTAGTCACCTCGACTTGATGTAATTGTAAACAAGCTTCTAGTGAGAATAATTACGACTGAGTAGTGAGTTTGCTCTTCACTGGGTGCACCATACTTTTGGCTTGTGCCACATCTAAGTTACGTTTAGAAATCACTATCAAATGCTGAAAAATTTGAACTGAAGATATGAATTGTTTCATGATTAATTCGGTTTTGCTTTGTTTAATTATCACCTGAAGCTAGAGAAATGTCTACAGAATTACTTACTGGCGTCTATTTACTTGCATATATCAGGTTATTAAAGAAATGATAGAATCAATACAGGAATTTGTTGTCCAATTGACCTGGTAAATTAATACCTTTAATTGATAACAAACCTCAACAATGGAACAGTTGTGAACATCGAATATTTCTGGTGTAAATGTGTTAAGTTTTCCCCGCCATGAACATGAATTGTAAGATTTGTAAAATTTCTGTTCAGACTTTTTTAAAAGGAAGTTTTACGTTGATTGTTATTATATAACGTACACAGGATATTTATATTTGTCATGAAGTCATTTTGTTTAAAAGATGTTCGGAAATTTTTCCCAAGCCGAAAAAAAGACCTGTCGACATTGAAAATCAGCATTCTGAATGTTGGCTCTTTACATGAATCCAATCAGTGATCACCGAGCATACAACAGTAGGTTATCAGCTGCATGTTTGTGTGTGTGTGTGTGTGTGTGTGTGTGGAGAGAGAGAAAGATTTTATGGAGGGAGAGAGAAAAAAAAAACGTATGCATATATGGTTAATGTATTGTATGGTCTAAGCTAATATGGACAAACATGAAATAGAATTCTTATCGACTGGATTGGTTCAAAATGCATGATTAATGCGGACGCTTAGAGAGGAATTAAGATGAAAAACGTCAGGCCGAGTCTATCCACGTGGTGTACGTCTATATTAATTAAGAATAAGTCTTTACTAGTCTATTTGCTGTTTTAGATTAGGACATTATTATAAGTACTTGAGATAAATCTCTCAGGCTTTGGCAGTCCGCCATTTAACTCTGTCTGGGAGAAAATTACGATCTGAAAAAAAAGGCGTTTTTATAAAACTGAAATCTGCAAATTCAAAGTGGAATTTTAAAGATTTTTTTCTCTCCTAAAAAAAAAGAAAGAAAACAAAAGAAAAAGCGAAATTAGATCTTTCTCTGACTCTTCCTTATATCAAAGTAAAAAGTTGTTGTTTTTTTTATTTAAAAAACGTTGTTAGCTTTAAAATGGAATCTAAAAGTTATAAAAATGAAATGAACTGAAAAAATGAATAAATTATACAGATGTTTACATTTTTTTGCAATCTGTTTTTGAGTCTGAAATTCAATAATTATGAAAAAAAGGAACAAAGATTTGACTCATATCTGAAAAAGAATTTTCTAACTTGAGAAGATGCGGGTGAATGAACGGAAAATTCAATTTTTTTTTCAAGTTCAACTTCCGGCTGAGGCAGTTTGTGTTAACTTCGCACTAATGTCCTAGAGAAGGGCATAAATGCATCTTTTCTCCTCCTACTTATAGATTAAATAACATAGTATAATGGACTCTTTAACCTTTCTACATTTGGTTGGCAACCAGTTTAGTAGAATAACAATTCTGAATTAAAAAAAAAATATATGGAAATCAATGGGAAATTACGACAGTATTTTTTCCGCGAACGATTATAGCAATGTACAGTTTACAGATATTAAAAGGAGGCTGTAGAGGGCCATGACCACCTAGTTTATTAATTCACATATCACTTAAAGAGAAATGTACTCAAAGTATAATACTCCTCCATGAGTCCATATATAAGACGAACCGCTAGATCGGGTATAGATTTACATTTTAGATAGGAGGAAGAAGAAGAGCTTGCAGGAAGGAGTAAAGGACCTCGACTAATGCTTGGTATTTAGTATAAATGAACAATGGAAGATTTAATTTGTCGACTGAAAGCGACTAATAATAAAAGATAATCCTCGCAGCAAAACGATTAACCCTCGCCAAGATAACCTGTTGTCTATAATCCTGATAGAAATAGATAATCAGATTTGAAACCACTTATTTGATAAATACATTCACATTGTAAAAAATACATATGAAGTCAAACCTATCTGTATTTTACATTAATTAAAAGGTACAAATCTGATTTGTATGTAAAAGCATTAAAAAGAATTTATTTTCGGGGGAAAATGAAATTTGACTTACATAAAACTCAAAGTAGCAAACCGTCCTGGGTAAAACGATAAACTACATCCAACAGCAAGATCAGGAGGTTTTAAGGAGCTTGGAACCACCTCTTAATTGCTGGCGTTCCCAGGTCCACCCTGACCCGGTAACGTTCCCAAACTGGGGTCAAAACACTATGAAAGTGTAAAAATAGGTTTTAATACTAGCAATACATTTTTGTAAAAGTTTATTAAACCAATGAATTTTTTAAGAAAAAATCATTACCAGCAATGAAAATCTTGTCGGCATTAAATAACCCATTGAGGTTGATACGCCGTAAAATAAACAAAACCAAAGCAGAAAAAAATGCAAGCACGCATTACTTTCTTGTAATTGTTTCTTTTTTTCTTTCTTTGTTTCTTTGCAAACAGTTAAAGAAAGATATTTATATAATAAAGAAAATTCACTCATTTTCTGTTATATTAAGCAATATTTTTTAAATCATTTCTCACATATTAATTAATATTATTAATATAGACACGTGTCATAGATAGGTTTGGGTTTCGATTCTCATTAGGGTCTTCAAAACTGCGTCTATTGTAAGAATACTCTAATAAGGAAAATATATTTTAAAAAAATACACATTTACTGAATTTCAATTAATGAAAAAATTCGATAGAAATAAACGAAATGGTTATCGTATTTCACTCTGACAACAAATTTCCAGAAAAGATTCAAGAAAACTAATTCTCAAACTTATGAATAATCATGAAAAAAAAAAACCTAATCCGAAGTAAACGTTGTTTTATTTTAGTTCTTTCTACGTCTTCGACATTTAATATGTTAATGCTAGTAAGCTTATATTGTTTTATTCAAAATGGATCGTTACTTCTGACTCAAATCGGAACAATATCTGTGCATTTTGTTCAAGATCCTCGGTTATCTACCTTGATCTTTGTGAAATTTTGCATATAAAATTGTTTATAAGGACATATGATTATATATATATATATATATATATATATATATATATATATATAAATTTTGATTGTTTATAAAATTAAATACGAAACCTTTCTTGGGCATAATCTGGTAAAAATATTCATATTTTAAACAAAATACATGCTACTTTCATTGCATCAATTACTGATAACCTAAAAGCTTGCATTTAGAAAAAAAAAAGTTGTTTTTATAATTTTCTAAAAAAATATTTCAATATCATTATAAATTAACATAAACATTTCAGATTGTTTAAATATCAATATAATAAAAAAATTTAATTATTAATTAAAAAAATACGATGGCTCCGAAATTTGAAATACTTTAATTGTATGTTTTCCTTTTAACTATATTTACGAGCGCATGCATTTAAAATGGCGGAAGCATTATATCAAAAATCGTAGTGAATGTGTCCAAATCAAAATCGTTCCTGCCTGTCTCATAATCTTCTTAAAATATATATGTTTGGATCCGCTTTTAAAATCTCGTGATAAATATGGAAGCAATAATTGAGCTTCTAATTCAATAAGATTAAATCGATTATTAATAAGGTGTCGCTTGGTCATAGTAAGTAGCAAGGAGAAATCTTTGGATGATTCTCTTTACCGAAGCTAAACATGGTTATAATACTGAGACAATGACTTAAGAATTCCAAGTTGTGTCAAGTCGTAAAATTTTGAAAAGATATCAGAGCTGCATTAATAGTTCAGAATTTTGTTTGTATACCAACTGCATCCTTCATCACGTGCTTGTCTCCCTTTTTTTTCTTTTTTTTTTTTTCATTTTCTTCATATTTGCATTGATGTGGTTGAGTATGTATTTGTTGCAATGTCAAATTATCCTTGACATTGTTGCGAGTTATAGGAAGAGCTACGGTGGAAAAAAAATTGATCATCAACACTGGAAACAAATTTACCGCTAAGATAATTACGGGAGTGCGATTGACTGCGTTGTTGTGCCACGAGGGTTAAAAGTCAAGATGAAAAAAAAAAAAAAAAAAAAAAAACTATTTTCATAGTAGGTAGATTGAACCAGCCAAAATGTTATGGACAAAATTGCAAAACTTATACCATTATTTTATGAATTTTTACTATTTTCTTCGTCGGATATTTCATTTGTTTTTCTCTCTGTGTTTATTTGTTTGTTTTTATTTTTAATATTCTCTGTTTCTCTCTCTCTCTCTCTCTCTCTCTCTCTCTCTCATATCAATCCACAGATCTTTTGCTGGTTAAACGACTTGAATAATAATTCCAGTTTGTCATCCAGGCTTACGGCCACATCACCTTGAAACACCGGTCACCATACGATCACCAAAAACTAAGCAACGTTGAGCCTGGTCAGTACCTAGATGGGTAACCGTTTGGGAATACCACGTGATGTAAGTTTGGCGTAATGAATAATTAGAACGCGCCGTGTTCCAGTTCCAGTTGGGTTCGTTATATTCATTTACGAGCAAATACCATTGGAAAAGGTATGAATCCACCTTTTCTCCCCTAGCAATGGGTTAATTAGTAAGACTTGTATCACTCAAACGATTATTATCTCCAAAACCACCCCCACTGCAAATCCCAAGAATTATTTCTGTCCTCTAATGTCTAAATCATTGAATGTATCAAACTTAGAAGAGCATATGAATTAACAGCACAAAAAGAAGTGCTCATTAACAAGTTGAATCAAATCAAAGGGAGAACACTGACAACGGAAAAAGAATAAAAAATACTACAAAGATGGAGTTTAAATATCTGCGAAGAGTTTTAACAGTGGATGGAAAATACGGCACCGAAATCCAAATGTGCGTTGAAATAGCGAAAGATGCCTTCCAAAATTTAAGCAAAGTAAGAGAAAAACAGGAAAATTTCATTGGAAATAAAGAAAGGAGTGCTAAATTGCTATTATTCATTCCGTGTGGCAGTTAATGCTCAACATTTTCCAGAAAGATGAAGAAGAGATAACTGAAATATGACTCTGCAACAGAATACAAAGAATTCCATGGACATAGCGCGTAAGCAACGAAGTCTTCAAGAAAACGAAACTCAGAATCAGAAAGCGACAGCAGAAATTTTTTGGACACATTTTGAAGAAAGAGAGTTTAGAGAATTTGACACTCACAGGGACCTATCGAAAGCAAAAAAGACTGGGGAAGGCAGTGGGTCAACTACCTGTGAATTGATGGCGAAACGAGTTATGAACGCCAACATTATTTATATCGTTCAAATTCTTAATTTCTAAAGGCGAAAAATAAAAAAAGGAAAGAAAAAAGTTTTAAAATTATTTAAATTTAAACAATTTAAAAAAATTTCTGACATTTTTTTAATTCTTCGCCTTTCAAACTAAAGAATTTGAACGATATGAATTATTAATAGTTAATTTTAATATTTTATGCAACAATAATTAAATAAACAAGTTTTAATACACAATTTCGAATCAGCACCACGAAGAACGCGAACTCCATAACAGTCACAACATATTTGCACCTGAAGAGCTTCACTAATATATAATTATAGCTCTGTTTCATAACATTGAGCACTGTATTTATAACACCTGAGGAAGAACTATATTTATACATACATATGTGCAAGTATATAAACATGTATATAGATTTTTATCCCACCCATTCCTATATATCTTGCGTACCCCTAGGAGAAACCGTCAAAATATGACGTGCTTTGTCCTATTAGCTACAGGGTGCTGCGATGACCAAGCAAAGTTGAATAGCAACTTTAAAGACGGATTTTTCTCTGACTCTTGAAATAGACGTACTTACTCAGTTTCGTGTCGTAATGTAAACAAAGCAATTTGTAAAGAAAGGAATCTATCTGTGTTTAAAGGCACTATTCATATATATGCCTCTCTCTCTCTCTCTCTCTCTCTCACTATCTGTCGGTCTGTCTGCCTGTCTCTCTCTCTCTCTCTAGCGTCAATTTCGTCTTATGAGGATCCGACAACCTTCAGCCCTGCTCGTAGCCAACATATTGTGCAACAGCGAGGATCTCGGGACATAGCAACAGAAATATTTCGTCTCTTAGCCGCGGTCAATATGATTGATTTCAAAATTTCTGATATCACTCTGACACAAAAATCTCCGGTTACTTCTATCCAGAACAAGTCACTCAAAGTTATTGTCAGGCACAGTGATAGATGAGAGATTTACTCTTTAGTTTGTCTTTATACCCGAGACATGGTCGTTAAACACTCCTTATACATACATAAATACACACACACACATATATATATATATATATATATATTGTGTGTATGTGCGCGCGTGTGTGTGTATGCCAACTTTATATATATATATATATATATATATATATATATATATATATACTCGTTATATGTGTGTGTAAAAGTTGACATTGAACTCAATACCTAGAGGCGACAGTCTATTTCATGCTAAAAGGCAATCATCAGGTCTGACGGTTGTATTTAACTTGAAACAGATTGTCACTTCAGGTGTTGACTTCCATGTCCACTTTTCTATTTACATGCTCTTTATCAACCCATAAATATATACCTTTAAACTATATTTTATCATATATATATATATATATATATATATATATATATATATATATATAGAGAGAGAGAGAGAGAGAGAGAGAGAGATTTGCGCAAAAGTAAGTGAACCCTAAGATAACATGTATTCTCTTCTTTAACTTGAACCACATATTTTGAAATTCTTTTAATCATGGAATTTTTAAAAAAATAGTCTCCTTTTTGCACACAGTGTCTTACATTGGTTGACTGCAGTATACAAAGCTTACAAAAAAAAATGAACTCCTGTCATTTTGAATTTTACAAGTACACAAAAAACTATTTGCACTGGCAACCGTGTAATAAAAAAAATACAGACTTCTAATTTAAGGGCTAACTTACTTTTGTTTTCCTTAATATTTTTATTCCAACTTGATAAAAAAATTTGAAAGTGGATTAATAAAGGCTTTTATTGGTGAATATATAATTTAATAACGATATGTTGATTATCTGGAAAAATGAAACAATTTCTCTTAATATTATCTTAGGGGCTCACTTACTTTTGCGTAGCACTACATATACATATATGACTATCTATATATATATATATATATCATTCGTAGACAGCACTGTTTCGCTGTATCGCAGCTTCTCAGTGCAACTAAACATCCGATTGCCTCAAGCCAGGATCGAAACCCAACTGATTTGGTGTCATTTAGAACTTCTACCACTGAGCTATTCATTCGGAAGCGTGAAACTGCTAAATCTAGCGTATTGTTTTTACGAATGTAAACAAATACCAATCAGCCGGAGTGCTCTATTCATTTTACTGAAGAGCTTTACATTATCGCAAGAGGCTGTTGTTTATAGAATCAGCTTATCGCTCAACACAGCTCATTTTCAAGAGCTAAATTATAATATATATATATATATATATATATATATATATATATATATATATATATATATATATATATATATATATGCAACTCTGGATCATGAAAGAAATATTAAGTACTGCAATTTACCTTATTCCAGATATAAAGCTCAACTTTCCTCTAGTCGTAGGGAAAACAATCTTTTGACAAAATGAAAATTGGTGACTAGATTTTCATTTCAAATGAGCTTTAATGTTATCTAATAATATCATAGCAACCTCTGTGTCGATTAGAAATGCTGGCCTGGTGACAGGTCATTTATGCACTACTTTCTCATGCGCATATGTAATATCCATGCTTCACTCTCGCTTACAGTCGCGCCAATTCACTGTTGAAAGCAATGCGGAAGAAACGGTTTAATAATGGAAAAACACTAAAGAGCCAGAATCTTTGTGAAGAGGCTTTAGTGTCAGTTTGATGCAGTGACAGATTAAGATAAGAGGAGTCTATTTTGAAAGCAGCAGCAGCTGCCGGCTTCCCAGGTGTAACTTGGCAGGTAATAAACTCTGGAATGCTCACCTAGCCAGCACTCTTCACAGCCACGGTGCAGTTGCTGTCGGATTTGACTGCAGACTTAATCCTTCCACTAGGGACACAAAAAAAAATAAAAAAATAAAAACACTGGCACTGAAACATGTTTGCGCCTGAGGAATTAAAATATTTCCATTTTCCAACAAGTCCACAACTTTTTATTTGTATTGTAAGCTTAGAAAATGTGTATTTTTAACGCAGCATTTGTATTGAGCTTTTTCGGTTTTACTATAAGCAGTTTAACTAAATTCTTGTTGGTATTTAAAATTATTTTCTTCTAAATACTGAATATTTTATCTTCTTATTTTGACAAATATTAAATGTAATTACTTTTTTTTAAGAGACTACTTTTGCGTCACGAACTTTATTTTAACAAAAGAATTTTGCTAAAATTTCAACGTAAAATGATAGAAGTTAACTGAAATAAATACTGAATTCTTTGTAAAAGTTACATACTACTTCCTTGCCGAGGATAATTTAGAAAGTCAAATCTTAAACAAGATGCATGTAACTTTCATTTCTGATGACTGACTAGCTGTTAATTTTCCTTATTTACCCTTAAAGAATATAATTTCAAAATAAGTTGATCATTATGTTCACATTATTAGTTTAATTTGCGCAGATACTAAATAATTTTTATTAAGTTTACATTTTTTTATATAGATGACTCGCCTTAGATCAGTGGCTAAAAAGTTAATTTTGCAAATCATTACTATTGTGATCTTTATTTGATTTTTATTGGATAAACTTGAGTCACACAAAGTTAAAGTTAGTAAATTTTTAAGACAAAGTCAAGACTACCAAGTGATACCTGTGTCAAAGACCGGAGAATCCAATTATCTTTTGTTTTCTATCAACAAAAAACGACTTGCATTTATAAGACGCATTCAGTCTTGAAACTGACCATATAGTGTTGTTTCTTAAATTCGCACGGCTCTTTTCGATATATATATATATATATATATATATATATATATATATATATATATATATTTCATTAAAGACGACAAACAACCAATAAAATCAAAATTGCAACTAACGAACATTATTTATAGGTCCGAATGCTCCTTAAGTAACTGTGTTCCTGATCAAACCGAATTCATAAATAATTACATCGGTCACACGACTACATTCCTATCCAGACGCCTTACGTTACACCCACAAACTTAACAGACTCCATCCAAAACATACTAATAGAAAATAAAAACATAATAACCTCATCCACATGTAAAAAAAATTAAAAATAATGGAAGCCTGAATAATAAAAAAGAAAAAGCCAACACTCAACTACGAACTCGGCCACAATGTATTAACTGTGATCGGAAAATAAAATATCCAGAAAAGAAGAACACAAGAAAAATTAAATAAAAAGCTTAATCGCAGTACCTTGTCTGTCGTCTTTAATGAAACAGATAGATAGATAGAGATAGATAGATAGA